AGAAAGAAAGAAAGAAAGAAAGAAAGAAAGAAAGAAAGAAAGAAAGAAAGAAAGAAAGAAAGAAAGAAAGAAAGAAAGAAAGAAAGAAAGAGGGAGGGAGGGAGGGAGGGAGAGAAATTTCCCTGCCTTGATTTTCATCATGTGATGACAACTCTATTAGGAAGAAAGGTTTTCTTGTTACATTCTTTCACAGCCTACTGCCTGATGTCATGTTTGTTTACTCCAGAAGTACTTATCTCCCATTAGGGTTGGTCAGTGGCCTTGCTGGTTCTGGGAACAACAACAATAATGTAAGAACACCCCAAAACAAAAAACTAAATCTTTTCTGTTTCCTGATTGTACCAGACAAACCCTTCGCACATCTGAAAAAGTGAGCTCTACCCTACAAAAGTTTATTTCACAAAAACCTAGTCTGTTTGGTTGGTTGGTTTAAAGTACAAGGAGACTGGACTGGTTTTGTTGTTACAGACTAACATGGTTATCCTCCCTAGAACGTTTTTCATCGATGGATTGTTATACATCAATCCTTTGACTGTGTTTTTAGTATTGCTTGTGTTTCCCATTTCTAAGAGGGGTATTTTGTTTGTTCCTTTTTATTATTTCTATACTTGGTGTTTTTAGTTTTAAATATTGCCTTTTAATGATATATCCTACCTTTGTTCTTAAATATGGTCTTTGAATACTGTGAGTTGCCTTGGGCCCTTTTTGAAGGAGAAATGTGGGGTAAAAATATATTAATCATTGTATTGAAGATACAATGCTTTGGTGTTTTTAATAATATTTCATTCTCATTTCCCTGCCAAGAAAAGGTGAACCTGTTGAATTGTTGCCAGCCATGTTGCTGCTACACAACATGGACTCTCTGGCCCTTAGTAACATTACTTCATTTGTGCATACTCCGGAGGTTGACCAAATCCAAACACACTTCTCTTAATCTCCAAAGCAGTGGAAGAATGCCAGAGTTTCTGCTAGGTTACTTATGCTAATGTTTCAGAGAATAAGCTATAGATAAAAATAAGTGGGACTTTACTGACAAACACCTACAATGCCATCACCTCAGACAGACTTTTGCCCAGTGCACATAGACTGCCTTTCAAGGTGTCATTACACCCTTTGGTGTGTGTGGTGTTTTTTTTTCCTTTCTTCCTTTGCTATGCAGCTGATGATCCAATCATACTCTTGCATGCAAATATAGCATAGCTCAGTTCAGATAAAAAGGGCACAATTAAGTCTAAGTGCTCAGTCAGGGCAAAAATCACTGAACTTGTCTAAAAGCACTTTTCACCCGTGTTTCAGGAATTAATCCAAACATGTCAACAGAGAAAAAAAGCTCCAGTTCCGCGCCAGCTCCCCCAACGGTGCCTGCCCCGTTTGCTGACCTGAAGATTACGTATACCAAGGTGAGTTGTATTTATGTTTGTTAACTTCCCTAAAGCAGCAGCTCTGTAATATAGGGCCGTGGTTCTGCATAGACACTGAACTGGGCTGTAGTCTTATTCACGACTGTTCTCCTCAATTCCATTTTTGCACTCTGCCTGCTGACAGTGTTCCTTAATCTTTTTTCGGGGGGCGGGGTGGGAGGAATTACAGTTCAAGTAAGTGTAGCTGAGAGGTTATTAACAAGCATGCCTAAACCCATAATTCTATGAACCAAATGCAGTTTAGGCTTTCCATCCTGGGTATAGTACAACTACAGATCTCTACCATTGTATTCCAGCAAAGTCCCCCTTGAAGTAACAGCTGCATCTTCTTCATATTTTTGAAGTGCAATAATGAAGGACAAATGCACAGAATTATGTTGAAAATGGGACCTTTAAAAAAAAAGGTAAATGTGCATAGGATCTGGTTCTTACCTGGAAATAACAGCTGTAGAAATTGTTGAACTGGATCCCAGGGCAGTATCTAGGACAGGATTATGAGAAAATACTAAGAGTAGCTTCTAAGACAGTAAGGCAGAAGTCAAATATATTAATCATTAATGTAAATGTGTTGTGCAGTTACAGCTTAAAACCAGGGTTTTATAAAAACAATGCTTGAAAAAACTGCTTTTGGGGCTGCAATGCCCAGAAGCCCACAGCCAAAATGGCCATTGGGCTACAGTGACCGAGAGAGTTTGGGCACTGTAATCTGGAAATAATTTTTCCTAGCTCTGCTTTGAAACACACGCTTGGAAATAAACAACCTCCATGGGTATTAATGCCCAATGTATAAATGTACATGGGGGGGGGAGTTTACTGCACTTTAGTGAAAAAAGAAATAAACAGTCTTCCTCTGCCCCCAGAGTCACAATCTAAAGAATACTTTCTAAAAAGGGCTGTGGAAAACAGGAGGTTGGGCTCTTATTCCTTATCTAATTAGGCTGAACAATTCAGATGTAGGCTGATTTACACTCTGATGCTACAGTGAAGGAGATGAATTTATTTTCAATTGAATATACTCAAACTCAAGATGTTGCCAAGTTCAGTGGAGTTTAACAGGATTGGAACTGTACAGCTTGGCTGAACGCCATTGCAATCAGGCTGGAAAGCCTTCACCATGCCAGTTGGCAAGCAGACCCCTAAATTCCTCGAGCCATCACATTATCTCTTTTTGTCATTGTTATGTGCCGTCAAGTTGCTTCCTAAAAAGTTTTTAGAGGTACAGTACATGAGAGGGAGTGCTTTGTTACTTTCACCTCCAGGTAGCTTCCATGGCTGGGCAGGGGTTTGAACCCAGATCTTTTGAGTTCTACTCTGACTCTCTGTAACCACATTAAATGTACATGGTGCAGGTTGTTTTGTCTGGCACTCTCCCAGAAGGACCAGGGGATTCTTACACAATTAACTTTATGTTACTGTCCTTAATGATAGAATAGAGCAAGTACTGTATATCCAGCTACAGTGTTGCCTCGCTTAGCGAGTGCACCGTATAGCGATGTTTCCGTATAGCGATCCCTTTTTCCCTTACACAATTAACCTTATGTTACTGTCTTTAATGATATAATAGAGCAAGTATATCCAGCTAAGTACTTTGTCTCAAACAGAGCAAAGGAAAACTGTTGTTGCTAATGAGTCAGCTATTGCTGCCAATGAGTCTCCAAAAGGTATTTCAGCAAATTCTTTCCACAGTCACACAGAAATCAACAGATAAGGAGGGAAATGGCAGTCTCTCACATTAACTCTAAAATTAGTCCCTCTTCCTGCCCCCTTACTTCCGTTTTTCTAAGGGCGGCAAAGTACATTTGTGATCTGATAATTCACATGAACTTTGGGAGAATTTCAGAAAGCCCTCAGGAAAGCTGAAAAATTGCTTGGGTCCAACCTATCTCAGAGACCGTATCTCCCATTATGAGCCGTCTCAGATGTTAAGATCATTAGGAGAGGCCTTCACAGGTACATAGATCTGATGGGGGCACAGGAGAAGGCCTTCTCAGCTGTTGCTCCCAGACTTTGGAAACCTCTCCCACAAGAAGCGAGACTGGACCCATCTTTGCTGTCCTTCCGCAAGCAGGCAAAGACCTTTCACTTTATTTATTTATTTATATTTATTTATTTACAAAGATTTTTTAAGCCACGCCATTACCAGTGGTCTCTGAGTGGCGTACAACAATATTAAAAATTTAATAACATTAAAATCATTTTTAAAAAGGCAGTATTAAAATAATATCCTATATTAAAAACAATCATTAAAACATTAATATTAATAAATCCTGCTGGTCATATGGCCAGCTTAAGAATACTATTTAATTAAAATGATGGCTAAAGGTCTTTGCCTGGCGCCAAAAAGCCAAAAATGTTGGACCCGGACGGATCTGTATAGGGAGGGCGTTCCAAAGTTGGGGGGCAGGGCAACAGCCAAGAAGGCCCTACTTCGACATGCCACCCTCCTCACCTCTTTCAGGGATGGCACCTTCAGAAGGGCCTCCTGATCTTAGAGGATGGGCAGGCTCGTATGGAAGAAGGCGTCCCTTTAGGCGATTTCTAGATGGATTGTTATGCAATACTGCTTTGACTGGGGTTTTAGTACTATTTGTGTTTTCATTTTTCAAGAGTAGTATTGGTTTCTTCCTTTTTCGTATTCGTATACTCAGGGCTTTTAGCTTTAATATTGTCTCCTAATGATGTAAGCTGTTCTTTATACTCATTGTTCTTAGCTTTAAATATTGTCTTTTAATTATGTAAGCCACCATTGTATACTCATTGCTTTCAGATTTAAATATTACCTTTCAGTGATGGAAGCCTGCTTGGGTCTTTTTTAAGGAGAAAGGCAGCATAAAATTTTTTTAAATGAATAATAATAAATAAATAAAACATAGGACATGTCTACATTGGCCCTTTTGGTGCTGGCTGATGTGGTCTAAATAGGGCCACTTGAGGTCAGGGAAAGGAGCAATGTGCTTTTTGGCACAATTCTCACATCCAAATGGCATACCTATGTCAAGCAGCCCTCCAGCTCTTTCCACTGTCATGTGTCAATTGAACACTTTCCCTTTCAACTGAGCACTCTCATTTTAAAGGGGAGGAGGGAAATAGAGCAAGATACGTTTAACAAAAAAAGTGGATCAGCATCACGAAGCTGCAGAGGAGTTCATCTTCTGCTTCACAAAGAAGCCAGAAAGAAATTGGTGAGACGAAGCCAGTGAGTGGGGGAACCCTTCCTCCTTTTGCATTGGGAAAGGGAAAAGGGAGCAGAAAAAGGAAGGGAAGCAAGACAAACAGGACAGAGAGGAGGGGGGAACACTCAGGCAAAGAAGTCAGCTGGCTTCCCCTTCCTCTTGATTACTGTCTGTGCCTCTCTCTATGTATGTGTGCCTACATATGTGTGCACTGAACAAGGCAATGTACAAAATGGAAAGAAGGAGAACAGCTCCGACAGCCATCAGAGGAAGGTGCTGAGAAGATACCTTACTAAACTATCTAATCAAAAGTTAAATTATTATTTTTGTCTTTGCTAGAACATTACTGATGCACTGATTCACACAGATTAATGTTTTTTAAAAAATATTTGCCTTGTGTGTAGTGTGTCATTCACACAAAAGCAAACTATAGTAATTTTTTTCAATGTGATCTAAGTGACATTGCAACAGTGATAGTCTAGCAGAGTCAAATCATAATAATTTCAATCCCTCTGCTTCCCCACAGAGAAGCAGGGAAAGTGTTCGATTTGTTGATATACTGAAGCGACTCATTTATTAAGCCATTTCATGATACCAGAAATTGACACTGGAAGGAGTTTTGGGAGCACTGATATCTGGAAGGCTTGATTTTTATTCTATTCACATGCTGGGAATGGACTAAACTAGAGCACACCAACCTACAGGGCTCAAAAAGGAGCAGGTTCGAGTGTTCTAGGGGCAGATTGGTTCGTTCTAGTGATTATGTCATATGGTCACTAAAAAAGAGTGGACCAATCCTCCCCTGCAACCAAACAGCAGGACAAATCCTCATCTGAATGAGCCCATAGTTGTGGAATTAGAAGACTTACTGGTAGGAAACTTTGCTTATCATATCACTAGCTCTGTAAATATCTGAGCATCTGGACAAGAAACAAATAATGCAATCTAGCAATATCAGGATTAGCAGCCTGTCCCTTTGACACCAGCAACCTACTGTGCATGACATGGGCAGCTGATAAGGTTTATCTTCAGTTTGTAAAAAAAAGATGTACCTTCCAAATGCTGGTCATTAAATTGCTATTCAATGGCAGGGCAGGGAAGGTCCTCAGTGTCCCCACACCCATCCCAGCAAGAAGCAATCCTAAACCTAAGGTAAGCACTGTTAAATTCCATGGACTTCAGTGGGAGAGGATAAAGCATGTGCTTCTCTTCATCGCCACTGAAATCAATTTCAATGGCTGAACAGAGCACCAAATGCATAATGATATACTCAAAGTCAAAGGAGGAATTGGGAATCCTCTCCTAACATCTCAAAAGCAAAGGTGGACACCCACCGTGGACTTCAGCACACCTGGAAAAATGTGGATTTGGAAATGTTTAGCAGCTTTTTGTTACTATAGCAAACATCAGGTTGAGTGGACTAGAAAACATAATACTCCAGAATGTAGATACACTTCCACATAAAGTTGCAAAAATAATTTTGTGGAAGTATAGATACACTTCCACACAAAATAAAGTTGCAAAAATAATTTTGTGGAAGTTGTCATAATTGGGGGTGGGGTGTGTTATTGTTTACTTAACAAGAAAAGTGATAATTCTGTTTTCTTTAAAACATGGACCTTTCAAAGCCTTCCCTGCAGACCCTTGTACAGATTATTTGGCCAGTACAGAAAACACGACCCGCAGCTATCAAATAACCAGTACATCTGATATTTTTAGAATGTCAACTAACTACTTAACAATAGTGTACTTCAAGGAGCCCAAAAACCAATACTTGCACTCATGTGGCCCCTCAGATATTGATTG